CTCTTTAGACTTCGACATACAGTATACACATGACACCATTTAATAAGATTTAGTACTGCAATGTAGTGGCGGCACTGAGCACAGAGGTGCTGAGCAGCACTCCAGCTGGTGAGTGAGGAAGAAATGTTTTCAGTTTAAATCAGGTCTTTCTCAGTCAGCGTAGATTATGTTTTTTCTTACTTTACACCCACCTAATAGCTCATGGTGAATCTGATGTTTTGGGTGTTGCGGTCTCCCCTGTCACAGAACAAATGCAGAAATTTCAACATTTTATTAATGAGATTATTAGTAACTCTTGGCCAAATCTTCCTACACCTTCCCCTTTGGATGCAGATGACTGTCTAGACTAGACTGACACAGAGGAGGAGTGAGTGAGGTACACACTTGTTTGACAGAAAGAGACAGCAGTGGTGTCTGAGCAGAACTTAGGTGAAAATGATGACGCTTCGAAAGCCAGAAATTTGTAAGTCTAGCCTTGGTCTTAAAAATAATAATAATACAATTTTTATCTATATTTGTACAGATGTTTTGGAAACACAAAGTGTAAAACATTAACCAATGCAAACAGGCAAAAAATAGCAACCACAGGAAGACTGGTTTTCAGCCATAACCACACGCCTCTAAGACCTATCTGGTTTGAATGATGCGACTTAAAATGTTTCCAGTACATATTAACCCTTTCTGACACTGTTTCAGTACTCCGTCCATCACTTTACACAAACTGAGTAATTGACATTCACAAGATGCAGCATCACTGCTTTCATTGGAAAGGTCCAAACTCACACTTGCACAACCAGATAGACAGCATTCACTTTGTGCATCTTAAAAGAGAACTTTCTTGCTCCTAAGTCTTCTTTTAGTTCATGAGAACATGACTGACAATGCTTAGAACACAGGTGGTCTTCCAGGTTAAGGTACACCAATGTTAATTAGAATAGAAAAATAAAGATGTTGAGTATGCTAAAGGCTAACATTCAGTTTCAAGCAGAAATGACAGCAAAATGATGAACATGAGAGCACTCAGTGTTTCTGTAGTACAACAGCAGGAAGAAGGACATTTTGGATATTGTGGTATTTTGGATATTTGTTTTAACCAGCAGTTACTGAAACATTGTCTAAGTTTAACCATTCACTTGGCATAAAACAGCTGCAATGTTTTGATAATACATACAGATACCACAGTCTACATATCATATTCTCCAGATGTAACGGGCGGGTTTTGTAAAGACCCCAGCAATGATAACATCACATAATTTTTATTTTGTTTCATTAAAAACAAAACAGTGAATGCACCCTTCAGCTAAATGTGTTGTGTAGGAGCTGGGCCTTGGCGGAAGATTGAAGGATATGTATAAGGGTCAATAACAAATAATTCAAGTCATCTGCAGTGGATCTACACCTTAATGTCAAAATACATTAACATCATAGCGGGCCAGATTTATCAATCCATGGCCATCATGGACCTCATGAAGCAGGCTACTTTCAACAATGATCACTGTAATTGACCGAAACAGCTGCAGGCATCTGACACGCAGTTTCTCTCGACTGTCTCTCAGTATCATAACGTCACCGACCTAGCCACATTAGCCGTGCAATATGCTAACGCCAAGTTAGCTAACCTGCAAAACAAACAGTAAAACAACACAAAACACGGCAATACTTACAGCTTCCAAGTTTTAAGTCGGGTCACGTACAGCCCATGGCTATCCGTCCTTGAACCGTTACAGAGCTCGAAACGCTTTTGGAATTTTTTAAGCACTAATGTATTAATTTAATACGCACTGAAGTATGAACATTGCAGTCGCAGTCTGTGCTTGCCATCCTCTGCGGTTGTCTTGGCCAATAGCGCGACAGCCCTAGTTGTGATTCTACACAGCAAACCTCTCAGCTATCTGATATTATGTCAATCCTTTGCATCTCTGATATATATTTCTGTATTGTATTTTATGTCCTTTGGTGTGAAGATTTTTAACAATGAACGGATGCGTCAACACTCATATTCATGTATGTAGTCAGTTTGAGCAACAGAATAAGCAACAGCCCGCCTCTTTGCATTGAGAACACCCTTCCTGGGACAAACTTCATTCAACGACATTGCAGAGCTTCAGTCATACGCACTATGATGAACTTTACCTTGATAACAGCTTTCATTCTCTGCAGCCTCAGTAAGTATTGGCACTGAATTACTCTCAACTTCAAACATATTTACTTATTACTCACCTGATGAGTTTTATTATATTGTTATATTGTTTACCGTCATGTTACTTCATAACTAGAAATTCTTCTTGTTTGCTGTTTGTTTCAGGCTGGATCTCTGTCTCAGTTTCTGAGTCTCAGACTGTGGAAGTCCAGTCTGGTGAAGACGTCACACTGCTGTGCTCCAACATTTCCAAATATGACGCTCCAACATTCTGGTTCAGACTTGTCCAGAGAACCAACATCAGCTGTGTCTCTGTTATGATCTCATCTAATAGCCAAGTTTCATTCTGTGATGGATATCAAAATGGAAGATTTGAAATGAGCTCCAACATCTCTGCTGTCTTTCTCAAAATCAAAAAAGTGGGTCCATCTGACTCTGGATTGTATTTCTGTGGATTTTACGTAAAGGCACATCCAAGTTTCAGTGTGATATATTTAGACATTAAAGGTGAGAGTATTGTAAAGTCTTGGATTGGATTCCCATTTTTCAGTTATGTCTTATTCTGCTTATATTGTAAAAAAAAGACATTTTGATAATTGTCTTTAAACAACATCATGTGTGCAACAGTGGCAAATCAAGACAAAATTTTTCTTTATGTCATTAAAAGGCAGCGATGAGCCGCATGATGACGTGGACAGCAAGTGTGAAAGTAAGATTCTCCATAAGATTTCCTTCATTGTGCAGATAGAGAAAATAGAGTCTAACTTAATGATCTTTCTTGTAGAAGAGTCTGATGGAATAGCAAAGCTGACGAGTGTGATCCTGGGCGGCCTGACTGTTTTCCTTGTAATAGTCATCATCGGTCTGCTTGTTAAAAACAGGACACTTCAGACAGGTACTTCTTCAGAGCTTCACTGTCTATCTTATATTTGTTTAGTTGCTAGTGCCAAAGACAATGATCAATGAACTGACCAGATATTTGTTTCTGTCACTCAGCTCATAAAGAAGAACAGAATCCAGAGCAAACAGAGGTGAGTCCAATTTTAACATTCATGACTACAACAAATTGTGTGACAGAAAACAGCTGTAACTATATTCTGTTGGTTAAAATGAGCTTATCCCTGATATATTGGCACATTTGAATATATGTACATAGTATATTATCAAAGGAAGGTTAAATTAAGGGCAACTGAACTGGTTAAGGTTACTTGAAGATGTTTCGTAGAACCATTCAGTCAGAACTAAAGAAGTCTTTTGGATGAGAGATGGAACGTCTTTGAGTAACCTTAACCCTGTGAAGTCTTATCAGAAATATAATACTGGTATTAGCATCAAAAATTCATTGTCAATTAAAATCATGTTACCACCACATCACCGCATTAAGACGTAAAATACTCTTTTCACAGAATGTGGCCTCTGATGAGCTGAACTACGCAGCAGTGACTTTTCAACCAAAAGGAAAAAGAAGAGAGCGAGAGCCGAATGTTATTTATGCTGCCACCAGATAGACTCGGGAGACATCTGAAACTGATGCTGTATCGTATTAAAATGCTTTGGGGCTTTTTTATGGCTTGTTGGTGAGAGCAATGACCACTCTTGCCAAATCATTTAATTTTGGAATAAAGATCCAATGTTCATTCATTTCCAAGTGTTTTCCTACTGCAGAGCTAGAATTCTTAACATTTCCTTCAGTCTATATAGCAAAAACATATGACTGGTGTGTGATATATGATGAGCCAGTAAGAGCACTTATTAGTGTCCAGACTGTATAATAGTGACAGTTAGATGGAGGTCTGCTGCAGTGGAGTAAGTAAGGTACACATTACTTGTTTGACAGGAAGAGACAGCATATTGTGGTCTGAGCACAACTGAGGTGAAAAGCATGTGGCCTGTTAGATCAAAGGTTTCTGAAAAAATAAAATGTTAAAGGAAGCAGTTAATACTGGCTGAGAAAATAAAAAGCCTCTATGGCTGCATGTAACTGGAAAACTACACAGTACATATATTTCTAGTTTGAGTATTTTAAATGTGATACCATAACGTGTGAAACCATATGCTACATGTGTCATGGATGTGTGTACAAGGCAACAGGATTGAAGACCCAAATGCAGACAATGAGGAACAACAGCAAATGAGCAGGTGGGTGTCAGGTGACCATGATTGGTGGTAAAGTCTGAGCACATCAAGTTCCTCTCCTTTAGAATCAGGTTCCAGTTTGGGTTCAGGAGGCAGACACCATCTCCACATTTAAGAGTAGGCTTAAGACTTTCCTCTTTTGATAATGCTTATAGTTAGGGCTGGCTCAGGTGAGTCCTGAACCGTCCCTTAGTCGTGCTGCTATAGGCCTAGACTGCAGGGAGACTTCCCATGATGCACTGAGCTCCTCTCTCCCCCTCCCCCTCTCTGTCTGTATGCATTCTTATCCCATTAACTCATGTTACTACGGCCTAGTGCTGGCTACACGACTTTCAACGTCGGCAGATCGTTGTGCTGTTCAGACGACACGACTTGCTGTCTTGTAACGGGAGTCTTGAAGTCGTTGTGGTGTTCACACTATGTGACTGATGAGCGACAGGGGGTCACACACTGCACGAGCTGACAACACCTCTGCCAGCCGGCAACTCTATCTGGTCTCCAAACCACGTTTTGTCAAGAAAATGCATATGAAAGTGACAGGTGAAAAGTGAGACGGGAAATGACGCAAAACCATGTGCGAAACAGGAGTGGTTTGCTATCATACAGATATATATTGATAAACATTATAAAGACAAAGAATATGGGCGAAAGAATGGATTAGCACACGTGGGCAGCAGAGATTTTCTGTGCTACAGAGAGATTTGGAGGTGAGTTAAAAGTGTTTTCAGGTGAAAAAGTAGCTGCCTGCTCTCATTGGTTGGATGTGGATGTCAAGACGGCCGACAGCTTCAGATATTTAGCATGCCCACCCTCAGTCTAGGTTCTGCTCAAGGTTTCTACCTGTTAAAATGAGGTCTTTCCTGCCACTGTTGCCAAGTGCTTGCTCATGGTAGGAATTGTTGGGTCTCTGTAAATTTTTACAAAGAGTAGGGTCTAGACCTGCTCTGTATGAAAAGTGATGAGTAAAGCAATGAGATAACCTCTGTTATGAATTGGTGCTATATATATAGATAGATATTTTGCAGAGCTTCAGTCATCCACACTATGATGAACTTTACCTTGATAACAGCTTTCCTTCTCTGCAGCCTCAGTAAGTACTGATATTGAGTTACTCCCAACTTCAAGAGTTATTGTTTACTGTCGTGTTACTTTATAACTAGAAAGTCTTCTTGTCATCTGCTGTTTGTTTCAGGCTGGATCTCTGTCTCAGTTTCTGAGTCTCAGACTGTGGCGGTCGAGTCTGGTGAAGACGTCACACTGCTGTGCTCCAACATTTCCAAAAATGAAGCTGTAACATTCTGGATCAGACTTGTCCAGAGAACCAACATCAGCTGTGTCTCTGTTATGATCACATCTAAAAGCCAAGCTACATTCTGTGATGGATATCAAGATGGAAGATTTGAAATGAGCTCCAACATCTCTGCTCTCTTTCTCAAAATCAAACAAGTGGGTCTATCTGACTCTGGACTGTATTTCTGTGGATTTTATGTAGACGGACGTCCAAGTTTCAGTGTAATACATTTAGACATTAAAGGTAAGAGTATTGTAAAGTATTTCTGTCTTTGGGTTCCCATTATTCAGCTGTGTGTTTTTCTACTTATATTGCAAAAAATATTTTGATAATTGTCTTTAAACAACATCATGTGTGCAACAAAGTGGATTCAATAATTTATATATAAATCTGCCAAATCAAGACTGAATTTATCTTCATGTCATTAAAAGGCAGCAATGAGTCGCATGATGACGTGGACAGCAAGTGTGAAAGTAAGATTCTCCTAAAGATTTCCTTCACTGTACAGATTATCAAATGTTTGAAGGTCAAAAAGTTTAGTTAAATTCAGTTTGGTCCATTTTCATTTCAGCCAGTTCTCACGTCTCTAAAGGGAAAATAGAGTCTAACTTAATGATCTTTCTTGTAGAAGAGTCTGACGGAATAGCAAAGCTGACGAGTGTGATCCTGGGCGGCCTGACTGTTTTCCTTGTAACAGTCATCATCGGTCTGGTTGTTAAAAACAGGAAACTTCAGACAGGTACTTCTTCAGAGCTTCTGTGTCTATCTTATATTTAGTTTAGTTGCTAGTGGGAATTATCTTAAAGTTGTGTCAATATGCCTGAAAAATTACAAACCCCTGGCAATGATCAATGAACTGACCAGATATTTGTTTCTGTCACTCAGCTCATAAAGAACAACAGAATCGAGAGCAAAGAGAGGTGACTCCAATTTTAACACTTAGTTAAATATATTGTTTTATAGAGCCTGGCCAAAAAAACCATTGGAACTATATTGTATTAGCTAGTATTAGTCTGTCCTGAAATATTGTTGTATATGTACATGTACAATAATATGTATGTATATGTACTGTGTGTATTTGTATTGTGTATATATGGGCATATAAGTAACAAGCAATTTCAGTCAAGAAAAGCCAAATTGACCTTTGAGCTACTTTGGAAACTGTGTCTCCTTTCTCTAGTTTGCCTGTTAGAGAGCACTAACAAGTTTCTTTTTCAACTGTGAAACGTCCTGCTCCATGAAAAATGTCACAATATTTTAAAGAACAACTTTAAGGGAGTCTTATCATTAACATATGTATTATGTATTACACGTATACATAAATATTGTCCAAATGTCAATATTATTTCATATTTATTTTTTTATTTAATATCCACTATCTGTTAGGCTTTGGGGAATTAAAATTCACCAAATTAAGACGTAAAATACTCTTTTCACAGAACGTGGCCTCTAATGAGCTGACCTACACAGCGGTGAAATTTCGAGCAAAAGCAAAAAGAAGAGATCTGGAGACAAATGTTTTTAATGCTGCTCAAGAGACATCTGAAACTGATGCTGTATCTTATTAATATGCTTTGGGGCTTTTTATGGCTTGTTGGTGAGAGTAATGACCACTCTTGCCAAAATGTTTATTTTTCAATAAAGATTCAATGTTTATTCTTTTGACAGTGTCTCCATACTGCGGAGTTATAATTCTTAGCATTTCCTTTCTCTTAGTCTGTTCAGCATGAAAACATATTGCGTATGTTGATGTATTAGTGTCCAGACTGTATAATAGTGACAGTTAGATGGAGTTCTGCAGCAGTGGAGTAAGTAAGGTACACATCACTTGTTTGACAGGAAGAGACAACATATTGTGGTCTGAGCACAACTGAGGTGTAAAGCATGTGGCCTATTAGATCAAAGGTTTCAAAAAATAAAATGTTAAAGGAAGCAGGTAATACTGGCTGAGAAAATAAAAAGCCTCTATGGCTGCATGTAACTGGAAAACTACACAGTGCATATATTTCTAGTTTGAGTATTTTAAATGTGATACCATAACGTGTGAAACCATATGCTACATGTGTCATGGATGTGTGTACAAGGCAACAGGATTGAAGACCCAAATGCAGACAATGAGGAACAACAGCAAATGAGCAGGTGGGTGTGGGTGACCATGATTGGTGGTAAAGTCTGAGCACATCAAGTTCCTCTCCTTTAGAATCAGGTTCCAGTTTGGGTTCAGGAGGCAGACACCATCTCCACATTTAGGAGTAGGCTTAAGACTTTCCTCTTTTGATAATGCTTATAGTTAGGGCTGGCTCAGGTGAGTCCTGAACCGTCCCTTAGTCGTGCTGCTATAGGCCTAGACTGCAGGGAGACTTCCCATGATGCACTGAGCTCCTCTCTCCCCCTCCCCCTCTGTCTGTATGCATTCTTATCCCATTAACTCATGTTACTACAGCCTAGTGCTGGCTACACGACTTTCAACGTCGGTGTGCTGTTTGGACTACACGACTTGCTGTCTTCTGATGGGACTTTTAAATTCCTTGTGTTCACACTGCATGGGCAGTGGTCCAGTGAATAGCACTGTGGCCTCACAGCAAAAAGGCTGTGGGTTCAAAACCCGGTCAGCCCGGCCTTTCTGCATGTTCTGCGTGGGTTTCCTCCAGGTGCTCTGGTTTCCCCCACCCTCAAAAAAAACATGTTAGGTACTCCAGTCAGTGCCACTGACTAGACACTGATATATACTGTACATCTGAAGTTAGTCCCCTGGCTGCCCACTGACAGTAAAAGGTATCTTTTTCTATGTGACTGATCAGCGACAGGGAGGCACAAGCTGACGACTCTATCTGGTCTCCAAACCACATTTTGTCAAGAAAATACAGATGAAAAGTGACATGAGAAAAGTGACACGGGAAATGAAACCACATGTGAAACAAGAGTGGTTTCTATTTGAAGATATTTAAAAATAAACATTATAAAGACAAAGAATATGGGGGAAAGAATGGATTAGCACACACGGGAAGAGGAGATTGTCTGTGCTACAGAGAGAGTTGGAGGTGAGTAAAAAGGGTTTTGTAGTGAAAATGTAGCTGCCTGCTCTTATAACTGACGGCGCCAGATATTTAACATGCTAAATATCAGTCTGGCGTTTGCGATGCGTCAGCGAAGCACCGGCAAGCCTCTTTGATGTGTCCTCGAGTAGTTCAGTTAACGCCTGGTGAGTGCCGAGCGATCGCTGATTCGCCTCCTATGACAGCCCGATGGTCGGCGAGCTCGACGACTTGCAAATCGGGCTTAAAATCGTGTAGGTAACTTGGCTTAACTTGATTTCTGCGCTCTCCGGCAGTTTTGTGCTTTCTCGTCCCTCTCCTCTCATCTTCTGTCTCTTTCTGCAGGTATTTCTGCCTCTGGAGCTGTAGAGTTTGGATCTGTGGTTGCAGGGCACCCACTGCTATAATTATCGTTATTACTTCTTTTATCATTTTGTTGTAATATTTGTATTAATACCTCTACCATGACTATTATTCTACATCTCTATGTGGAACTTGCATTGTGCTACTTTGTGTTCTCTTTCATTCTGCTCTCTCTCTCTCTCTCTCTCTCTCTCTCTCTCTCTCTCTCTGCTGGCCACCCACCCTGAGTCTAGGTTCCACTCAAGGTTTCTACTTGTTAAAAGGGAGTTTTTCCTGCCATGGTAGCCAAGTGCTAGTTAATGGTAGAAATAGTTGGGTCTTAAATAATATTACAATGAGTATGGTCTTGACCTGCTCTGTATGAAAAGTGATGAGTAGAGCAATGAGATAACTTCTGTTATGAATTGGTGCTATGTAGATATATATTGCAGAGCTTCAGTCATCCACACAATGATGACCTTTACCTTGATACCAGCTTTCATTCTCTGCAGCCTCAGTAAGTACTGCCACTGAATTACTCTCAACTTCAAACTTATTTTCTTATTACTTACTTGCTGACTTTTATTAAGAGATAATGTTTACCATCATGTGCTTTACAACAAGTAAGTCTTCTCGTCATCTGCTGTTTGTTTCAGGCTGGATCTCTGTCTCAGTTTCTGAGTCTCAGACTGTGGAGGTCCAGTCTGGTGAAGACGTCACACTGCTGTGCTCCAACATTTCCACATATGACGCTGTAACATTCTGGTTCAGACTTGTCCAGAGAACCAGCATCAGCTGTATCTCTGTTATGGTCACATCTAACAGCAATGCTACATTCTGTGATGGATATCAAAGTGGAAGATTTGAAATGAGCTCCAACATCTCTGCTCTCTTTCTCAAAATCAAACAAGTGGATTTATATGACTCTGGACTGTATTTCTGTGGATTTTACGCAAATGCACTTCCAAGTTTCAGTGTAATATATTTAAACATGAAAGGTGAGAGTATTGTAAAGTCTCTTCTGTCTTTGGATTCCCATTATTCAGTTATGTCTTTTTCTGCAGAAAAGGTTTTGTGAAAAGATCATGTATGCAACAAAAGTGTTTAAATAATTTTGATCTAAATCTATGAAATTTAAAATCCAGACTGAATTTATCTTCATGTAAAAGGCAGCGATGAGCCACATCATTGGACAGCAAGTGTTAAAGTAAGATTCTCCTAAAGATTTCCTTCACTGTGCAGATTATCAAATATTTGAAGGTAAAACAGTTCAGTTAAATTCAGTTTGGTCCATTTTCATTTCAGCCAGTTCTCATGTCTCTAAAGGGAAAATAGAGTCTAACTTAATGATCTTTCTTGTAGAAGAGTCTGACAGAATAGCAAAGCTGAAGAGTGTGATCCTGATCGGCCTGACTGTTTTCCTTGTAATAGTCATTATCGGTCTGGTTGTTAAAAACAGAAAACTTCAGACAGGTACTTCTTCAGAGCTTCTGTGTCTATCTTATATTTGGTTTAGTTGCTAGTGGAAATTCTCTTAAAGTTGTGTCAGTATGTCTGGGTTATCAAAGACAATGATCAATGAACTGACCAGATATTTTGTTTCTGTCACTCAGCTCAGCTGTTAAAGAAGAACAGAATCCAGGGCAAACAGAGGTGAGTCCAATTTAAAAATGTACTTATATAAATTGTTTGATAGAGCGTGGCCAAAAAAAACGTTGGAACTATATTGTATCAGTTAATAGCCATAAGATGTAAAGGTGAAGTGAATAACACTAATAATCTTGGCAAGCATAAGGATTTGAGCAAAATTGTGATTGGCTAGATGACTGGGTCAGAGCATCTCTGGTTGTCTGCAATGGTCAGTACCAATCAAAAGTGGTCCAAGGAAGGAAAAACTGTGAATTGGCTCATTAATGCAAGTGGGGAGCGAAGGCTGACCTGCATGGTCTGATCCAGCAGACCAGAATATAGGTCAAATTGTTGTAAAAGTTTATGCTGGTTCTGATAGAAAGGTGTCTAGGAGTGGAGTCCATTCCTCGATGGGTCAGGGCTGTTTTGACCAGCAGGTGGTCATAATGTTAAGACTGATAGCTGTAAGTAACAAGCAATTGCTAAGATAAGCTAAAATGATTTTTAAGGTGCTTTGTTAGCTGTCTCTTCTTTTTATAGTTTGCCCGTTAAAGAGCACTAATAAGTTTGTTTTTCAACTGTGAAATGTCCTGCTTAGTGAAAAATGTTCTTTTAAATTACAAATTTAAGGGAGTCTTATCAGACACATATGTATCACATGTATTGATATGTAAATATTGGCCAAATACTATATAATATCTATTATATTCTGGGGAATTAAAATCATGTCGAGTCACCACATTAAAAATTAAAATACTGTTTTCACAGAACATGGACTCTGATGAGCTGAACTACGCAGCAGTGACTTTTCAACCTAAAAGCTAAAAGAAGAGAGCTGGAGCCGAATGTTATTTATGCTGCCGCCAGATAGACGCAACTGGAACTGATGCTGTATCATGTTAATTTGTCTTTGGGCTTTTTTATGTTGTTGGTGAGAGCAATGACCACTGTTGCCCGAACATTTAATTTGGAAATAAAGATCCAATGTTTATTCTTTTGCTAGTGTCTTCATTCTGCACAGCTATATTTAAACCATGTGACTGGTGTGTGATATATGATGAGCCAGTAAGAGCACTTATTAGTGTCCAGACTATATAATAGTGAGAGTTAGATGGAGTTCTGCTGCAGTGGAGTAAGTAAGGTACACATTACTTGTTTGACAGGAAGAGACAGCATATTGTGGTCTGAGCACAACTGAGGTGAAAAGCATGTGGCCTGTTCAAAGGTCAAAGGTCAAGGTCAAGATCAAAGGTTTAAAAAATAAAATGTTAAAGGAAGCAGGTAATACTGGCTGAGAAAATTAAAAGCCCCTAGGGCTGCATATAATTAGAAAACTACACAGTGCATCAGTGTCCAAACTGAATATTTTAACTCTGATAAAATGAAATGAAATGATATGCTTTGTGTGTCACGGATGTATGTACGATGCAACAGGATTGAGGACCCAAATGCAGACACTAAGGCAGAACAACAAGAGATCAGGTAGGTGTTGGGTGAACATGATTGGTGGTAATATCTGATTACATCAAGCTCCTCTCCTGTGGAAGGTCCCAGTTTGAGTTCAAGAGGCAGATACCATATCCACATTTAAGAGTTTAAGACTCCTCTTTTGATATTGTTTATACAGTAGTTAGGGCTGGCTTAGGTGAGCCCTGAACCATCCTTGAGTTGTACTGATATAGGCCTAGAATACAGGGATACTTCCCATGATGCACTAAGCTCCTCTCTCCTCCTCTCTCTTTCCTCAATATGCAACTGTGTCCCATCAATCCATGTAATTAACTAGACTTCTTCTCTCTCCCCCTATTGCTTTCTGCAGGTGTTTCTGGCTCTGGAGCTGTGGATTCTGGATCTGTGTCTGCGAGTCACCTGCTGTCCTCCTGTTCCTGCACAACATTTGTTACTAAAATTATTACTAGTCTTATTATTTTCATTAATCTTACTATAATTATCAGTACCATTATTATTTTTCTACTGTTACTGTCTGTATTGCTGTGTGGATATTGCATTTCACCCACACCCCGGCTTTTCCAGGGACGGTAGAGGCCAGCCAATGATTTTTTGTGCACTACCACGTCAATTTTACAACCTCATCCCTGGTTGTTTGATGGGCTGGTGTGCAGTCATGTGTACAGTGAGTACAGTGTTGGGCTCAGCACACACCCTTGTGATGTGATCCAAATCTTGAATCCAGCTGCAGGTGTGAGGGGGGAGGCCAAGGTGAAACAGCTTGCTGATCAATATATTCGGGATGATCGTGCTGAATGAGGAGGGGGGACAGAGACTTTTATTTACTTCTGTTCTGTGCTTCACGGAGACGTCACTGTGTGGATCGATACCGGACTCCGCGTTGCAGCTGGCTGGATTCCAACTGTACAGAGCAAACCGCATCCAGATCTCTCCTGCAAACAAAGGGATCTGATACTCCCTAAATACAGTTTCTTAAATGTCCAACCAGAGAGAAGAACATTCTGGATCACTGGTATACCACAATAAGCAGTGCCTATCATGCCGTCCCCAGCACTGCACTGGGGCACACTGACCACGTGATGATACATCTAATTCCTGCATACAGGCAGAAACTAAAGATCTGTAAACCTGTGGTGAGGACATCAAAGCAGTGGACCAGTGAGGCTTTAGAGGACCTTTAAGTGTGTTTGGACTGTACTGACTGGAAGGTTTTCAGGACTGCCACCAGCAGTCTGGATGAGTTCACAGAGGCTGTGACGTCCTAAATCAGTTTCTGTGAGGACAGCTGTGTACCATCAGACACCAGGGTGAGTTATAACAGCGACAAACGCTGCTAACTAACATCACATTAGGAACAACCTACAGCCTACACTTTTCTGGATTTATTTTAGGTTTTGGAAAGAGAATAAATCATACTTCTCCTTTCAATCTTTCTGGGTAGCAGCTGTAACTATTACAAGTGCCCCAAGAACAGCGTTTGACAATATCTTGGAACAATACGGTAGAAGGAAGGAACTCCTTTTGCGTTAGAGTGAATGGAGCGCAGCCATGAAAGAGTCGGACCTCAGTTAGAGCGCCTGCTGTGTATTCGGGGCGTGCTTAGCGAAGGTGGCTACCGTCTTTACGCTGTTAGGTGCATGTTCATTGATTTTGAAATTGTTTTTGGTTCATTGAACAAGCATGAAAAAACATTGTGCATGGTAACATGTGCTGAATGCCCTGCCATACCCGTCTTGGATCACTGTTTGAGAAATGGTCCTCAATTGTTGTCCTGTAGGCCTGTTTGGCAACCTTGACACCTCTCTCATCTTGACACATCTCTCAGGTCGGCCCTGGCAGCGCTGGACAGTGTCATGTCCCCTGATACCTGAAGGCAGTGTTAAGGGCTATGAGGATTATCTGCACTTCCTTTGTCATTCAGGGATTCTGGTGAGAAAAAAACCCTGATTTGTTTATTTACAGTCAAAATATTGTGCAGTAATGCAGTGTGTGATTTAACATAGTACAGTCTGTGTGTATGTTTCCAAGTCCTGATCCTCAGGCTGTGTTTTACTGGTCTTCATGACAGATTTTGCCGTTCTCCTGAGGGGGGTGTATGTTGGGATGATGAAGCATCATCATTCTCAGTGGAGAAGCAGATCAGGCTGGGAGAGAAAGAGTGGAGAAGATGTGTCCTTCTAATAGGCTGAGGAATCGGTCATCAGCCTAGCCTACGACAACAAGAAACTGAGAAACGTAATGTGAACGTTGATGTCTGTAGCGATTTCATACTGAAGTGACAGCTGACCACAGCAGAGAGGAGAACAAAAGTTTGACAACAACTACATGATTGGCTTTGATGATTTTGGCAAAATCTGATTGGTAAACTAAAGAGTGAACCCCCGTCATCTGTTTAGAGAGGCATGAAGAGAGAGGAGCATGAAGGAAGCGATAGAGAGAGAGAGAGAGTTGTGAATGACTAATGCATAAAGATAGTCTAACCTGGTTGAATTCACACTGACCTTCATGTGTATTATCAATGTTTTTTGTTCATACTGGTAGCTTGTGTTTTCTTCCCTTCTGCGTACATACTCCACTGGTTCCACCACAGCAAACTGCTCCTTAAAATATGCCCTTCTCTTGTAGGAAGAACAAAGTGGACCGCCACTACTCAGGGTGGGGGTAAAGGGGTTGACATGACAAAATCATTTTAAGTTTAAAATCTTTACTGTACATTGTATAATTTCTTGAGATCAAAATAACGGAAACCAAAATCCCCAACCTACTAAAGGCTGATTAAATAAAATGAAACCACAGGCAACTCATAACGTGACTCTGTAGTGTGTTGGGCCCCCACGTGCCCATATGCTTTGCCGACAACATCTGGGCATGCTCCTGATGAGACCGTGCATTGTGTCCTGGATGATCTCTGATGCATAACGTCCTAGAGGTTCTCAACTGGATTCAGGTCTGGGGAACATGAGGGCCAGTCAAGGATATGTATAAGGGTCAATAACAAATAATTCAAGTCATCTGCAGTGGATTTACACCTTAATGTCAAAATACATTAACATCATAGCGGGCCAGGTTTATCAATCCATGGCCATCATGGACCTCATGAAGCAGGCTACTTTCAACAATGATCACTGTAATTGACCGAAACAGCTGCAGGCATCTGACACGCAGTTTCTCTCGACTGTCTCTCAGTATCATAACGTCACCGACCTAGCCACATTAGCCATGCAATATGCAAACGCCAAGTTAGCTAACCTGCAAAACAAACAGTAAAACAACACAAAACACGGCAATACTTACAGCTTCCAAGTAAGTCTTCTCGTCATCTACTGTTTGTTTCAGGCTGGATCTCTGTCTCAGTTTCTGAGTCTCAGACTGTGGAGGTCCAGTCTGGTCAAGACGTCACACTGCTGTGCTCCAACATTTCCAAATACGACGCTGTAACATTCTGGTTCAGACTTGTCCAGAGAACCAACATCAGCTGTGTCTCTGTTATGATCTCATCTAATAGCCAAGTTTCATTCTGTGATGGATATCAAAATGGAAGATTTGAAATGAGCTCCAACATCTCTGCTGTCTTTCTCAAAATCCAAAAAGTGGGTCTATCTGACACTGGATTGTATTTCTGTGGATTTTACGTAAAGGCACATCCAAGTTTCAGTGTGATATATTTAGACATTAAAGGTGAGAGTATTGTAAAGTCTTTTCTGTCTTTGGATTCCCATTTTTCAGTTATGTCTTATTCTGCTTATATTGTAAAAAAGACATTTTGATAATTGTCTTTAAACAACATCGTGTGCAACAGTGGCTTCAATAATTTTTACATAAATCTGCCAAATCAAGACAAAATTTTTCTTTATGTCATTAAAAGGCAGCAATGAGCCGCATGATGACGTGGACAGCAAGTGTGAAAGTAAGATTCTCCATAAGATTTCCTTCATTGTGCAGATAGAGAAAATAGAGTCTAACTTAATGATCTTTCTTGTAGAAGAGTCTGATGGAATAGCAAAGCTGACGAGTGTGATCCTGGGCGGCCTGACTGTTTTCCTTGTAATAGTCATCATCGGTCTGCTTGTTAAAAACAGGAAACTTCAGACAGGTACTTCTTCAGAGCTTCTGTGTCTATCTTATATTTGGGTTTAGTTGCTAGTGCCAAAGACAATGATCAATGAACCGACCAGATATTTTGTTTCTGTCACTCAGCTCATAAAGAAGAACAGAATCCAGAGCAAACAGAGGTGAGTCCAATTTTAACATTCATGACTACAACAAATTGTGTGACAGAAAACAGCTGTAACTATATTCTGTTGGTTAAAATGAGCTTATCCCTGATATATTGGCACATTTGAATATATGTACATAGTATATTATCAAAGGAAGGTTAAATTAAGGGCAACTGAACTGGTTAAGGTTACTTGAAGATGTTTCGTAGAACCATTCAGTCAGAACTAAAGAAGTCTTTTGGAGGAGAGATGGAACGTCTTTGAGTAACCTTAACCCTGTGCAGTCTTATCAGAAATATAACACTGGGATTAGCATCAAAAATTCATTGTCAGTCACTGTCGGGTAACACTGTGGGAATTAAAATCATGTTACCACCACATCACCGCATTAAGACATAAAATACTCTTTTCACAGAATGTGGCCTCTGATGAGCTGAACTACGCAGCAGTGACTTTTCAACCAAAAGGAAAAAGAAGAGAGCGAGAGCCGAATGTTATTTATGCTGCCACCAGATAGACTCGGGAGACATCTGAAACTGATGCTGTATCGTATTAAAATGCTTTGGGGCTTTTTTATGGCTTGTTGGTGAGAGCAATGACCACTCTTGCCAAATCATTTAATTTTGGAATAAAGATCCAATGTTCAATGTGCAAGTGTTTTCCTACTGCAGAGCTAGAATTCTTAACATTTCCTTCAGTCTATATAGCAAAAACATATGACTGGTGTTTGATGTAGGATGAGCCAGTAAAAGCACTTATTAGTGTCCAGACTGTATAATAGTGAGAGTTAGATGGAGGTCTGCTGCAGTGGAGTAAGTAAGGTACACATTACTTGTTTGACAGGAAGAGACAGCATATTGTGGTCTGAGCACAACTGAGGTGAAAAGCATGTGGCCTGTTAGATCAAAGGTTTCTGAAAAAATAAAATGTTAAAGGAAGCAGGTAATACTGGCTGAGAAAATAAAAAGCCTCTATGGGTGCATGTAACTGGAAAACTACACAGTACATAAATTTCCAGTTTGAGTATTTTAACTGTGATATCTATGTGTGAAATGATATGCTACATGTGTCATGGATGTGTGTACAAGGCAACAGGATTGAAGACCCAAATGCAGACAATGAGGAACAACAGCAAATGAGCAGGTGGGTGTCGGGTGACCATGATTGGTGGTAAAGTCTGAGCACATCAAGTTCCTCTCCTTTAGAACCAGGTTCCAGTTTGGGTTCAGGAGGCAGACACCATCTCCACATTTAAGAGTAGGCTTAAGACTTTCCTCTTTTGATAATGCTTATAGTTAGGGCTGGCTCAGGTGGGCCCTGAACCATCCCTTTAATCGTGCTGCTGTAGGCCTAAACTGCAGGGAGACTTCCCATGATGCACTGAGATCCTCTCTCCCCCTCCCCCTCTGTCTGTATGAATTCTTATCCCATTAACTCATGCTACTACGGCCTAGTGCTGGCTACACGACTTTCAACGTCGGCAGATCGTTGTGCTGTTCAGACTACACGACTTGCTGTCTTGTAACGGGAGTCTTGAAGTCGTTGTGGTGTTCACACTATGTGACTGATGAGCGACAGGGGGTCACACACTGCACGAGCTGACAACACCTCTGCCAGCCGGCAACTCTATCTGGTCTCCAAACCACGTTTTGTCAAGAAAATGCATATGAAAGTGACAGGTGAAAAGTGAGACGGGAAATGACGCAAAACCATGTGCGAAACAGGAGTGGTTTGCTATCATACAGATATATATTGATAAACATTATAAAGACAAAGAATATGGGTGAAAGAATGGATTAGCACACGTGGGCAGCAGAGATTGTCTGTGCTACAGAGAGATTTGGAGGTGAGTTAAAAGTGTTTTCAGGTGAAAAAGTAGCTGCCTGCTCTCATTGGTTAGATGTGGATGTCAAGACGGCCGACAGCTTCAGATATTTAGCATGCTAGATATCTGTCTGGTGTCTGCGATGCGACACAGAGATATTTTACATTTCTATGTGGAACTTAATGCATCGTTATAATTCACACATGATGACTGGCAAGTGCAGATCGATCGTTGTAGAGTTTGGATCTGTGGTTGCGGGGCACCCATTGCTATAATTCTGAATATTTTATATTTATTACTATTATCATTTTGTTTGTGATATTTGTGTTATTAACCCCTACCATTACTATTATTTTACATCTCAATGTGGAATGTGTAACTTTGTGTTCTCTTTCCTCCTGCTCTCTCTCTCTCCCTGTTGGCCGCCCACCCTCAGTCTAGGTTCTGCTCAAGGTTTCTACCTGTTAAAATGAGGTCTTTCCTGCCACTGTTGCCAAGTGCTTGCTCATGGTAGGAATTGTTGGGTCTCTGTAAATTTTTACAAAGAGTAGGGTCTAGACCTGCTCTGTATGAAAAGTGATGAGTAAAGCAATGAGATAACCTCTTTTATGAATTGGTGCTATATATATAGATAGATATTTTGCAGAGCTTCAGTCATCCACACTATGATGAACTTTACCTTGATAACAGCTTTCCTTCTCTGCAGCCTCAGTAAGTACTGATATTGAGTTACTCCCAACTTCAAGAGTTATTGTTTACTGTCGTGTTACTTTATAACTAGAAAGTCTTCTTGTCATCTGCTGTTTGTTTCAGGCTGGATCTCTGTCTCAGTTTCTGAGTCTCAGACTGTGGCGGTCGAGTCTGGTGAAGACGTCACACTGCTGTGCTCCAACATTTCCAAATATGAAGGTGTAACATTCTGGATCAGACTTGTCCAGAGAACCAGCATCAGCTGTGTCTCTGTTATGATCACACCTAAAAGCCAAGCTACATTCTGTGATGGATATCAAGATGGAAGATTTGAAATGAGCTCCAACATCTCTGCTGTCTTTCTCAAAATCAAACAAGTGGGTCTATCTGACTCTGGACTGTATATCTGTGGATTTTATGTAGACGGACGTCCAAGTTTCAGTTTAATACATTTAGACATTAAAGGTAAGAGTATTGTAAAGTATTTCTGTCTTTGGGTTCCCATTATTCAGCTGTGTGTTTTTCTACTTATATTGCAAAACATATTTTGATAATTGTCTTAAAACAACATCATGTGTGCAACAAAGTGGCTTCAATAATTTATATATAAATCTGCCAAATCAAGACTGAATTTATCTTCATGTCATTAAAAGGCAGCAATGAGTCGCATGATGACGTGGACAGCAAGTGTGAAAGTAAGATTCTCCTAAAGATTTCCTTCACTGTACAGATTATCAAATGTTTGAAGGTCAAAAAGTTTAGTTAAATTCAGTTTGGTCCATTTTCATTTCAGCCAGTTCTCACGTCTCTAAAGGGAAAATAGAGTCTAACTTAATGATCTTTCTTGTAGAAGAGTCTGACGGAATAGCAAAGCTGACGAGTGTGATCCTGGGCGGCCTGACTGTTTTCCTTGTAATAGTCATCATCGGTCTGCTTGTTAAAAACAGGAAACTTCAGACAGGTACTTCTTCAGAGCTTCTGTGTCTATCTTATATTTGGTTTAGTTGCTAGTGGGAATTCTCTTAAAGTTGTGTCAATATGCCTGAAAAATTACAAACCCCTGGCGTGATCAATGAACTGACCAGATATTTGTTTCTGTCACTCAGCTCATAAAGAACAACAGAATCCAGAGCAAAGAGAGGTGAGTCCAATTTTAACACTTAGTTAAATATATTGTTTTATAGAGCCTGGCCAAAAAAACATTGGAACTATATTGTATTAGCTAGTATTAGTCTGTCCTGAAATATTGTTGTATATGTACATGTACAATAATATGTATGTATATGTACTGTGTGTATTTGTATTGTGTATATATGGGCATATAAGTAACAAGCAATTTCAGTCAAGAAAAGCCAAATTGACCTTTGAGCTACTTTGGAAACTGTGTCTCCTTTCTCTAGTTTGCCTGTTAGAGAGCACTAACAAGTTTCTTTTTCAACTGTGAAACGTCCTGCTCCGTGAAAAATGTCATAATATTTTAAAGAACAAATTTAAGGGAGTCTTATCATTAACATATGTATTATGTATTACACGTATACATAAATATTGTCCAAATGTCAATATTATTTCATATTTATTTTTTTATTTAATATCCACTATCTGTTAGGCTTTGGGGAATTAAAATCATGTCAAGTCACCAAATTAAAATGTAAAAATACTCTTTTCACAGAACGTGGCCTCTAATGAGCTGACCTACGCAGCGGTGAAATTTCGAGCAAAAGCAAAAAGAAGAGATCTGGAGACAAATGTTTTTAATGCTGCTCAAGAGACATCTGAAACTGATGCTGTATCTTATTAATATGCTTTGGGGCTTTTTATGGCTTGTTGGTGAGAGTAATGACCACTCTTGCCAAAATGTTTATTTTTCAATAAAGATTCAATAATTATTCTTTTGACAGTGTCTCCATACTGCGGAGTTATAATTCTTAGCATTTCCTTTCTCTCAGTCTGTTCAGCATGAAAACATATGATGTATGTTGATGTATTAGTGTCCAGACTGTATAATAGTGACAGTTAGATGGAGTTCTGCTGCAGTGAAGTAAGTAAGGTACACATTACTTGTTTGACAGGAAGAGACAGCATATTGTGGTCTGAGCACAACTGAGGTGAAAAGCATGTGGCCTGTTAGATCAAAGGTTTCTGAAAAAATTAAATGTTAAAGGAAGCAGTTAATACTGGCTGAGAAAATAAAAAGCCTCTATGGCTGCATGTAACTGGAAAACTACACAGTACATATATTTCTAGTTTGAGTATTTTAAATGTGATACCATAACGTGTGAAACCATATGCTACATGTGTCATGGATGTGTGTACAAGGCAACAGGATTGAAGACCCAAATGCAGACAATGAGGAACAACAGCAAATGAGCAGGTGGGTGTCAGGTGACCATGATTGGCGGTAAAGTCTGAGCACATCAAGTTCCTCTCCTTTAGAATCAGGTTCCAGTTTGGGTTCAGGAGGCAGACAGCATCTCCACATTTAAGAGTAGGCTTAAGACTTTCCTCTTTTGATAATGCTTATAGTTAGGGCTGGCTCAGGTGGGCCCTGAACCGTCCCTTAGTCGTGCTGCTATAGGCCTAGACTGCAGGGAGACTTCCCATGATGCACTGAGCTCCTCTCTCCCCCTCCCCCTCTCTGTCCGTATGCATTCTTATCCCATTAACTCATGTTACTACAGCCTAGTGCTGGCTACACAACTTTCAACGTCGGTGTGCTGTTTGGACTACACGACTTGCTGTCTTCTGATGGGAGTTTTAAATTCCTTGTGTTCACACTGCATGGGCAGTGGACCAGTGGATAGTACTGTGGCCTCACAGCAAAAAGGTTGTGGGTTCAAAACCCGGTCAGCCCGGCCTTTCTGCATGGAATTTGCATGTTCTGCGTGGGTTTCCTCCAGGTGCTCTGGTTTCCCCCACCCTCAAAAAAAACATGTTAGGTACTCCAGTCAGTGCCACTGACTAGACACTGATATATACTGTACATCTGAAGTTAGTCCCCTGGCTGCCCACTGACAGTAAAAGGTATATTCTTCTATGTGACTGATCAGCGACAGGGAGGCACAAGCTGACGACTCTATCTGGTCTCCAAACCACATTTTGTCAAGAAAATACAGATGAAAAGTGACATGAGAAAAGT